ATTCCATGACTGGGATAATCGGGATAGGTGTGTCAGATACAGTGAGATTGGAACAGGACAGACAGAGTTTAGGGCGGTTGTACATAGGGTCACTATGATTCGCAAGCAACTCGACAGCACATAAGAACAATATTGTGTTTCGCAGAAATATTATTTTTTTTTCTTTCATGTCTCTGGTTATGCTCACTTTAAAGTATCTCAATTTGTGGTTGGCTATTGTAAATGGTACTGCTTTCTTAGTTTCCTTCTCTGAGTTTTCTTTGTTAATATAGAGGAAAGTCACTAATTTTTGGATATTGATCTTGTATCCTACCACCTTACTAAACTGGTATACTAGCTTGAATAGATTTTTTTCTGAGTCCTTGTGGTTTTCTGTGTACACTATCATATCATCCGCATATAATGACAGTTGAACCATCTCTTTGACAATGAGGATGCTTTTATTTTCTTCTCTTGTTATAATTGCCCTACCAAGTACTTCCAATACAATACTGACTACAAGTGGTTACAGTGGGCATCCTTGTCTGATCCCTGCTTACAAGGAAAATACTTTCCGTCTTTTTCCGTTAAAAATGATATTGGCTCTTGGTTTTGCATGTATTCTTTTCAGTATATTGAGGAATTTCCCTTCTATTCCTGTTTTACTGAGTGTCTAATCAGGAATGATTGTTGGATTTCTGTCAAATGCCTTTTCTGAATCTATTGCTAGGATCATATGGTTCTTGTTACCTGCTTTGTTAATGTAGTGAATTAAATTGATCCTTTTTCTTATATTTAATCATCCTCATATACCTATTATAAATTCCATTTGGCTTGGTTATAATAATTTTTAAAAATGTGCTTTTTGGATCTGTTGGCTAGGATTTTATTCATGAAAGATAGGTTTTCTTTTTTGGTAATATCTTTGCCTGAATTTGGTATTAGGTTTATGCTTGCTTCATAGAATATTTCTGGGAATATTCCTTCTTTTCCTAGTTTCTATATATTTTAAGTAGAATTGGTGATAAATCTCTGAATGTTTCCTAAAATTCACCTGTGAACCATCTGGTCCAGGAATTTTTTTGTTCATTTGTGTCAATCTGGGTAGTGCATGAGTTTTAAGAAATGTGTCCATTTCTTCTAGGCTTTCAAATGTGTCAGAGTATAGCTTTTCATAATATTCTGATATTATAGATTTAATTTCCTCTGGTTCTGTTGTGATGTCATCTCTGTCATTCTTTAAGTGAATTATTTGTGTTTCTTCTTTTACCCCTTTTGGTAAGTTTACCAATGGTTTTTCAGTTTTATTGACCCTTTTGAAAAACCAGCTCCTGGTTTTGTTGATGGTTTCAAATGTTTTTCTGTTTTCTATCTCATTGATTTCAGCTTATGTTCATATAATTTCCTTTCTTCTAGACACTGGGTTAGATTTTTGCTCTTTTCCTATTTGATGAAGGTATTGAGTTAGATCTTTCTTCCTTTTTTTGTGTGGGCCTATTGCTATGAACTGCCCCTACAGAAGTCTCTCTGTGCTCATCAAAATTGTTTTCCAAAGGAGTTAAAAGAAAACCTACAGACTGAGAAAAAAAATTGGCAATACCATCTCAGAGAAGGATCTCATAACAAAAGTTTATAGAATGCACCTGGGCCTCCAGAAGGAAAAGACTGATAACCCAATTACAAAATGGGCAAAAGACAAGGAAAGACTCTTCACAGAAGTCAGACAGACACGTGAAGAAATGCTCAAAATCACTGGCATTGAGAGATGCAAATCAAAACCATAATGAGATACTATCTCATCCCAGTACCAGTGACAAAGTTTAGCAGGGTAGCAAACAATTAATATTGGAGAGGTTGTAGAGAGATGGGAGGGAATTCCTATAAACTGTTGATAAGATTGCAAAATGATACAACCACTTTGGAAGGCAGTTTGATGTTTCCTCAAAAAGTTAAACATAGAATCTCTGCATGACCCAGCTATTCCACTACTAGGAAAATACCTTAAGAAAATTAAAACTGAGACACTAATGAACATTTGTACACCGCTGTTCATAGCAGCATTGTTCATCATTGTAAGAACATGGAAACCACCCAATATCCAACTGTAACTAAATAGATTGAGAACTGTGGTACATTTTCAAAATGAAATACTATGCAGCACTCAAGAGCAATGATTTTGAAAAAATTCTATGTAACTTGGGAGAGGCTGGAGGGCATTATGCTGAGTGAACTAACTCAGTCTCATAAGGACAAATACTGCTTAAGACCATTATTATAAAAATAGAAGAATAACTAGTAAATAACAAGAGTACTTAAGTGCAACGACATCAGGCTGGAGACTAAGGTGCACCTGATCCAGGCTATAGTCTTTGCAATTACGTGCTATCCATTGGAGAGTTGGACAGTGAATAGGGATAATAGAAAGAGAATTGATGCCTTTGAGTTGTGGTGTTGGAGAAGAGTGTTGAATATACCATGGACTGGTAGGAAAACAAACAGGTTTGTCTTGGAGAGGGTGAAGCCAGAATGTTCGGTGGAGTCAAGGATTCTGAGGCTTCATCTGGCATACTTTGGGCATGTTGCAAAGAGGGACTGGTCCTTGGAGAGGGACATCATATTTGGGAGAGTGGAGGGATGGCGCAGGAGAGGAAGACCCTCGATGAGATGGATCGATTCTGTGAGTGGAGTGGTGGGAATGAAGGTGTTTGAGACAGCGATGTTGGCACAGGATAGAACGGGGCTTAGGACTCTTGTACATAGGGTCTCTATGAGTCTCAAACGACTCAATGGCACATAACAACAACAACTAGTAAAACATATTATGGGGACTCAAGAAGGGAAGGGGTAGGTGCAGAGGAGTGAGGACCACAGTAGAAGGAAGCCACAGGGCTGCACAATTTGGTGGGTGGAGGGACGTAGTGAAGGAAATGAGAAAGATGGGGCAAGGACCTGAAAAGACAAGTTAATGATGGGCAAGGTCCAATGGTGATTTATTTTATAAAACATAATGCATGAAAATGATTGTATGAGACACAATGTGAATGAAGAATAGTGTGAAACACAATGCATACAAACTTTGTAAGCAAACCAACTTAAAATTATAAAAGTATCCTCACTAGTGTACCAAGAGGGAACATCATGGTAGATGGAGAAAGGATTTAAGTTGTCAAGGATTTAATTTTCATTGGATTCACAAACAACACCCATGGTAACAGCAGTCAAGAAACAAAAAGGCGTAATAAATTGGGAAAATCTTTTGTTAATGAACTCCCAAGTGCTAAAGAGCAATGACATCTATTTAAAGACCAAGGTGTACCAGATACAAGTAATGCCATTTCACTTCTTTCTTATGCATGTCAAAATTGGACAGTGTGTAAAGAAGATCTAAGAAGTTTTGATGCCTTTGAGTTGTGGTCTTGTTGAAGAGTATTGAATTTATCATGGACAATGAAAAGATGATACATATCTATAAAGGTGCAACCAGAGTCCTCCTGAAAGAGGTTGAAATTTCATCACATACTTTGAGCATGTTGTCTGAACGGGCTTAGTCCTTAGAAAAGGATATACTACTGGGGAAAATAGAGTTTCACTGAAAAAAGAGTAAGACCTTCAATGACATGAATTGACACAGTGACTACCACAATGGGCTTCTGCATGGCAGTGATCATGATGATGGCAAAGAACAGGGTATAATTTTCATGTTGTTAATAAGGTTGCTGTGAATCACAGTAGACTCAATGACACCACTAACAACAAAAACCAAGCTTTACTTTATCACTAGGAATAAAATACAGGAAACTATCTCAAAAAGAAAGTAAAACCAAAATTTGATAAAAGGAACATTACTTTAGCTGATTAGTTAGATTTTGAAGAAAAGAGTGCACCAACAATCTTCACATAATGTATTTCTTGCCAGTATTAAGAGGACAGTTGTCTCCATAGGGTACTCTCAGCGAAAGGCATTATGGCCGTAAAGGATTTTTTAGTATTGCCACTGGGCCAGATTTGTCCAAGTTTACTAAAGTTGTGGTCCAGGTTAAATGTCTTCAGTGTTCTTCAACTACATAATAGCTGGATTAAGGCCAAGAGAGTCCTTGTGACATAGTGCCTAGCATATTGACCAGTAGTGCAATCCCCAAGCTGTTCTGTGGCCGAGTAATGAGCCATCTCTTTCCGTAGAGATTACAGCCTTCAAACCTTATGGAGGATTGCTATGAGTCAAAGCTGACTTGATAGAAATGTGTTTCTTTTTTGGCTGTTATGTGTTGGTTTTTTTTTTTGTTTGTTTTTTGATGGTGAAGGGAAAATAGAAAAGCTTGAAAATTAGTCACAGAATAGTGTGGCAGAGAACATAGCTGCTAATGTGGGTTGTTGAGAAAGAGCTCAGAAAATGTTTTATGTACTTTGTGAGACGTCGTGAGTTAGTAGAGCATCTCAGATCCTCAACTATCAAGAATCTGTAATTAACATGGAAAGGAATACTCTGTGGTATTAAGTAAATAAGTTACAAAGTTATCTTAGATAGGAAAAATACTAGCTTGGAAAAAAGAAATTTGGGAAGTTAAAAGTTGGAACAGAGGCTTTGCCTTTGGAATAAACAAAAGGACAGTGATGTCAGAGTTCAATATTGTATAAAATCTGTCCTTTCTAAGATTTCTGGACAGTGTTGAAAAAAGGTGGGCTCCTGAAAGGTGAAAATGCCTCTAAATTAATGGAATAATAATATTCAGTTAAATTAGGAAATTAGGAGCTTCCTAGAGACCCTACACTCATTCAAGTTCCTAAATACTTTCCAGGGGAAAAGTGAAGTAATCTCAAATTAGAACTCAAACAGGAGAAAAATCTACTCACCTTCCATGCAAGATTTTATCTGAAGCTTTGCTCACATAATAAAACAGACACTTTTCGAGATCTCCTGTTACCTTTTTAGTGGCCATTTTAGTCATAGATTGATTTGATAGGTAATTATTAAACCGATTCTATGATTTTTATTAGGGAGAGACAATAGAACTAATACTCACTTTCGACTTTGATTTACTACCTGAAGACCTGCATCCTGCTAGACAAGGTGACACATAAATCATTCCATTTTCTCCACAGACTGGTTCCCATTGGCTTTCATCACAATTGCAGTCTATGTTGCAATAAGCACGTGGTACATTTCTATGAGAAGTCACTGAGTTTTTTCTGCAGATACATAATAACAAATATGAGAAGAAAGAAAGGGAGAGAGAGGGAAAAAAGGAAAAACATGATATTTTTATTTGGTAGAGACATTTAATAAAGATGATATCAGATGACAATGGCAAAGTTGTTTTTTAAAAAAATTATCAATTACTTTTATATTCACCATCTTTACTAACACACCAATTATGACCTAAATGCTTAGAATGCAAAAGAAAAACCAAAGCAGATACTTAAGGTTCAGAAATTAGTTTAGTGTTGCAATATTGAGAAATTTCACATTAGCTCTGTCACTTCATTTTTCTGTGACTCAGTTTTTCTTCATAACTTAATGGAATTAAAGTTAAAGCTACTTCAATTAACTATGAAGCCTCTTGAGCCTATGAATGGTATTTAAGTAAACTGAATTTTAGATACTGAATTTTTTTTTAGGAAAAGTAATTTGGTAAAGGAAAACGTTACCCTTTAAGAATAAACTTTTAGAAAAGTAAGTATAGCAGAATATACTTATATTAGAAAAATCTTCATATATTTAAAAATGAATTTATAATATGTTTTATAAGGAATTGCTTATAACATTATATCATAGTCACACATTATAAATAAAGTCTTATGATATAACTATAATCCAAAATAGGGAACATTTGTATATTTTATTTTCTGCTCCTTGATTCTAAACATTTTCTAGAATGTTGACAAAATCTTGATAATGTTTGACTGATGAACTATCTTTGAATGGCAAATGATTTAAATAAAAAAAGAAAAGTGCTAGTTTCATAAAGTTAAAAATTATACTATTAATAATTTTACTAAAAGCATTTAATGCCTAATTTTGCTTGAAGACATTCCAGTGGCAGTAGTTAAATAGAATGATTTAAAATCTAGTCCAGATAAAATATATCTGTGTTCTGATTAATCCCCAACCTCCAAATAATATCTTTCATACCCCTAAAATGCATTGTAGATCTCAAAGTTTGTTGTTTTTACTTGAGTTTGATCTGTCAGTATATATTACTAGACATTAACACTAAAGAATTTTAGTTTACAAAGGTATGCAAGCACTTATGTTGTTAGCTGTCAGATAACATCTTGTTGTCACAAGAGACTATCACTATACATTCAGGAGATAATGGAATAGAAAAAGTAAATTATGTATTATTATTATAAAAATAATTTTTAATTTGTGGATCCACTGATAATATTTCAGAGACACCCACAAGGGCTATCAAACCTCATTTTGTGAATTTGTATTTTAAAATCTTTTCCCAGTGACTACTATTTCATATTCAAGAATCTCTATTTGTTATTTACTGTCATTGTACTATGAATTTTACAAAGGAATGTATATATTTAAAAAATCTTAATCTTTCAGGTGGCACACAGTGGCATTTTGTTGAATGGAGCAAAAATAAAGACAAAGCACCAAATCATAGGCAAAAATCTGAAAACCTCCCATTTACCCCTAGACACTTTCTTATGAAGAGATTGTACAGTTACTATTCTTATTTTCAGGGACTAACTTTCAGCTGAACTCTGGTTTGACAATCAGGGTGCCCCTACAAGTAATGATATGATGTACAATCTGTTTGAACCCAATTATGCCCTCAAACAAATTACAAATTGTCTGAATCTTAACTAATAAAGGAAAAGAATATATGATAATAGGTTTCATGATCTTAACACTCTTATAAAAATGAAAAAAAATATATACAAACCCATCATAGGTCAAGGTTAAGCCAGCAACTGATTTGGTTTCACAGAATAGGAAGAAATTAGATGACTGAAATAAGAAAGCTAATACGAAGAATAAAAGGGACAATTTTGAAATTCCCATCACATTCAATTTGAATTTTTTAATGATATATCCTCCTAAAAACAATCCAAGTGAAAAAGTAGGTAGGGAGATGACTCCTAGAAACAAACAAAGAAAAAAATAATTCCTTAATAAGGCTTTCTGATATATTTTAATGTATGAAACATAATGCATACAACAAAATTTAATATTATAACTTTGTAGGTAGTTGAAGGCAGATCAAGACAAAAGTTAATGGCCAGTATATTCTATGAGAGAGGCAAAACTAATTGAGTCCTGTTTATGTTGAGAATTTGGCATCCTCAAAAGTTAAATTAGTGATGGGGAATATTTTTCGGTATCTAACACTTTACTATGCCTCTATGAGCCATTTGTATTTTGAACAATGAAAACAAAAAACTTTCACTCTGTCATCATTTACACCATCTTAAAATTAAAAAGTTCTAATGGAGCTCTAGTGACCTAGTGGTAAGGAGCAGCGCTGCCATCCAAAACAACAGTGGTTCAAATCTGTGGGAGAAAGATGGAAAATCTTCCATAAAAGTAAACTGCACTACATTGAAACAGATGAGGAACAGAACAGCTTAAAAGGAATATATGATGAGGTATTATTTGCATGACAGCAGTCCAGAATAAGAGTTGCATAGTAAAGTGGACTGGGGGTGGTAGTGGGAGATTGTACAATGAAAGAGTTGGTTTTGTTTTTTTTTTCAAAGAGAAAAGTGAACTGGGGTTGGGTGAGCAGGGAGGAAAATGTGCAACAATGAATGAATGGAAATCCAAGTTCTATATAAACTTTCATTAAAATCTCAAAGAAGAAAAAAGAAAACCCACTGGAGGTTCACCTAAGGGTTTGTTCCGACTTAATGGTATACAGCATCAACAATAATGCTAAGGACAACACCAACAATAGTGCTTAAGAACCCACCAGTTGCTCCTTAAGAGAAGGATGGGCGAATCAGCCATGATCCAGTTCCAACTCAATGACACATAACAACAGCAATAATGCTTAAGAAAGAACTTCACTCCAAATTTACTCAGAATTATAGAATTAAACTCTTGAATTAATATCTCTCCTTTTTCACCTATTTGGAATCAGGGTGGCATCCACTTCCTAAATAACATGCCTCTGTAAACTCTATGAACTTTGGTAAATGTCGATGGTTGTAGAGGGGCTTCAGGCCTTTTGTTCATGAGTTATGATGAATCTTTCTCGGCTCGAAGGCAATCAGCAACAACAACAATAATGTTCATTTAAGGAGCTCTAGAGCCATGGTAATTAAAGGATTCAGTTGGTAACAAACCACCAACCACTCCTCAGGAGAAAGATGAAGTGGCCTGCTTCTGTGAATAATTATAGTCTTGTAAAAGGCCTTTCTATTCTGTCTTACAGAACTGACAAGAGTTAAAATTGACTTGGTGACAACATAGTAAGTTTTTAGGTTATTAAACAAACATATACTCTGAGATGACAAATATACCAATACATTATTTTAATGATCATAGTACAATAACTTATTCCTCATAACTTTTCTATTTCATTGTCCTGAAAGAATTATTAAAAAGAAAGACTTCTAACCCATTATCTAGGTTGTGAAATACATTGGAAATCAAAATATCACCATCACACTTTTAACTTTATAGGCATTGAAAGGATGGTACTTTAATCCACCCAGAAGCTCCACAGGAAAAACATTTAAGTATTGGCTCCTGTGAAAATGATAGCCAAGGACACAAAATGGAATACATCTACTCTGTCCCAAGAGTCTGTGGGGCAGAATTGACTTAAAGACACCCAACGACAATTTCAATAAGTGTACCTTAAGACACTCTATGAAACAGAAAATTATCATGAAAATGATTTTTTAAAATATGGTATTTGTATTGAAATATGATATAGTTAAATTTATTCTTTGGAAATATCAATGTCCTGCTTTTTTATAAGTAATGGATTTCTGATTTCAAAATCCATGAATATGGAATTATATTGATTGTATTTAAAAATATTTTTATTACTCTATCAATATATTGTAAACTCAAGTGATGTAGAAGCCATGTCTAATTATTCTGTCCATGAAAATGTTTTTCTTCACTAGCTTATGTGTTACATGACATGAGATGCAAATTTAACTACAGGCACTACAATATCAATGATTAACATGGCTATATTTACAAATGAAGCCAAAGAAAGGATGAAAGTCACACACACACGCAAGTGTCTAGGACTTTTGTTCATAGGGTCGCTATGAGTCGCCTACGACTTGATGGCACTCAACAACAACAACAACAACAACATATTTACAAAAGCATAAGCAAATGTTATAATTGTCAGAAAATTTTCATTTTTTAAATTTTTTTAAATTATTTTTAAATTTTTTTTTTTTTTTTTTTTTTGGTAGCCTATCTCTTTTAAGGCAAATAGATAAATAATTTGACTTACCTATCCAGAAGTTTGCTTCACCTATTGACTTGCCATACTGTTGTTCTATGTGTTTGAAGACATAAGTAACACCACCAACATGGTTGCTGAAGTTTAACACTGATGCAATCAAGTAAATAACATATAGGGGATTGGTAAGTATGCTTTTCAAGGACTGAAAGAAGCCTATAAAACATAATAATAGAAAATACAGTATATTGTATCACAAATATGTTTATCTTAATTGCATTTATATCTTACTTTGGCAGATATAATAAATATTTCAAAAAAGATTGACTATAAAGGTCTTACTCTACATCTGAAGATTCTCAATAGCTATAGTATGAGCTAAGTCTTACATCCAATGGCAACAAATAAGTAGTCTAATTTGCTTATAACATGAAAAATGTGTTGTTTCTTGCAGGTAGAGCCAAAGGAAGACAAGCAAAGTGAAATGTAGATTTTCCAGAGGGCAAAGAGCTCACTCAGGCTAATTGCACTGAGGGATTGTAAAGCCTCTGCTTTTTATTAGCAGAATATCAAAGCTTATAGTAAAACATGATCTCATAGCGTGGGTAAATGTCTAAACATATGGAACAAAGCATAGGTAATATGGAACAAAGCATAGACAGGCAGGAATAGTTTTCAAGAGAACATCTTTGTACTCATGAGCAAGGTCTTACTACACTCTTAACAACCCTTTCAAGAACATCAGAAAATAGTCTTTGTTTAACAGAGAATTTTTCAGATCCCTTTCATGGTGATACACGCTCCAGGAAGTCTGAGACTGCTTTCATTCCCATCTGTTCTTGGTATCCTTCACCTGCTTTCAGGCACTGTAGCCAAGTCCTTTTGCATGTATTCCATGACCACTACTAACCTCAGTGAACTAGAATGACTCTACAAAAGTAGTTACAGTAAAGAGCACAAATGAGAAAATGTAATGGAATTTGTAGCAGGAATGAACAATATTTAGAATTGTTAGGACAAAATGCTAAACTGAATCCTCCAGTCAGAATGGACCACTTGTGAGATATTACTCAGTGAGTTATCACCATTGAGCAAAAGGAACAGAGTAGAAGAGATTCACTAAATCTTTCACTGCATCTTTAAGTATATGAGAACTTGGATGATATATTGTTTGAATTTCCAACGAAAAGTGACTCACTGTAGATTATCCTCATTAACAGAGATTTATGGCTTCCTGCTAAACACTTTGGGTTGTAAATGGAAAGACCAGCAGTTTGAATCCACTGGGCTCTTCAAGCAAGAAAGATGGGTAGTCTCCTCCCATGAAGACTGATAACTTCAAGAACTCATAGAGTTGCCAGGAGTCAGATTCTGTTCGATGAAAGTGAAGTCTTGTTTTGTTGGCTCAATAACCAAATTAACAGTTTATATGACAAGAAGCTGACTGGGAAAGCAACAAACTCTGTTTGAGGAGAGTTGGTTGGGTTTGTTTTTTGTTGGTTTTTTTGTCTGTTTGTTTTTTAGCTCTACTCAGTAAAGTATTAGCTCTACTCACAAGTATATAGAACAAATTGAGTCTTTTAAATTCTTTATAAACATTCTTAATTATTTCCTACATTCCTAATAGCACAAAATTAAGTATAAATTAGTACAACACTCACGAAATCAAAAGATAAATTGCATTAGAGAAATCTGCTGTCAGGGAACTCTCCAGAGTGCTAAGATCAAGAATGTCAGTCTAAGGGGAGCTCTGGTTGCCTAGTGGTAAGGAGCTGCAACTACAATCCTAGAGGCGCACAGTTCGAATCCACCAGATGCTCTGCCGGGGAAGGAGGGACAATCTCCTCCTGTACCAGTCAGATCTGATTTGACGGTACACTCACACAAAAATAATAAAAAAGAAAAAAAATTAAAAAAGAAAAGAATGTCAGTCTAGAGACTTAGGTGCACCTGATCCAGGCCATGGTCTTCACAATTACTTGCTATGCATGAGATAGCCAGACAATGACCAAGGGTTAAAAACTGATGCCTTTGAGTTGTAGTATTCAATAAGAGTTTTGAACATACCATAGACCATCAAGAAAACTAGCAGGTCTGTCCTGGAGAGGGTAAAACAAACCTGCTCCTTGGAGGCAAGGATTTTGAGACTCCACCCCACATACTTTGGGCATGTAGGCAGGAGTGACTGGGTTTATGAGAAGGATATCATGCTTGGAAGGGTTGAGGCACAGCACAGGAGAGGAATATCCCAGATGAGATAGATTGACATAATAACTGGGCTAATGAGCGGAGGTATTTCAGAGGCGGTGAAAATGGCTCAGGATAGAGCAAGGTTCAGAGCTATTGTGCATAGGGTTGCTACTCAACACATAACAACAACACAATTAATATCTCTTTGCAATGCCAGAGAGTTCTGATGACATAGTCCTCAGGTTATATTAGTGCTGCTAACCCAAAGCCCACACTACTCTGGAGGTTTGGATGTGTTTATCTAGTTCCACAGGAAAGATACACAAGCTCTGTTCATTATTTAGTCTTAGAAACTCAGTGGAGGATCAGCCCTGAGTAGATTCCAACTCATTGGCAATGAGTTTTTTGAATTAACCATTCTAGTCTGACAAACATAGGTAACAATTTATGTGATGTTTTTATTGCTTTCAAATCTAAAGTCCTATATTTGCATCTTCCTCATTCTTACTGTTTACAGTTGCCATGATTCTTAAAAGTTTTAAATTCAGTGCACTGACTTTCAAAGAATTGGCCTTGTTAGAATAGACACATAGTACATACCATATGACAGTCTTGATGTTATTTTTTTAGTGTGCATGCTAAATTTCATAAACTTCTATAACTTAGTAAATGGAGTTAGTAAATATTTAGCAATTCACTCTGGAAATAAACAAAATTTTGCAGAATTTGCCAAAGACCATGAAATAAACTTATAAATTATACTAATGTGGCCAATTCCAGGTGATGAACACAATTGAGAATTTAACAGTCCTCTCTTATGAGTCAATCTGAGTTCCAGCACATCATTTTTTCTTAGGTGAAAGTCATTGTGGAAGAAGAAACCATATGAATCATTGAGGGGGAGAATTCGGGCTATGCCTCAGAATAGTTAATCCTACTACAACTTAAAATTTAAAAGGTTGGCAACAATTTAGGCATTGTTCTGCCTTAATTTTTACTATTTTACAATTTCTCTGCTGTTAAATTCTAAAAGTGAGCTGTCAACAACTCATGTCAACTCTTTCTCTGTTATTCAATCACTCTTCAGACCGACTACTCTTGCTTCTCCACTAGCCCCCTTGCACTTGTCTTTGAAACTAGATTATGACAGAAATTTCTCTGATAATATTAAGTACCACGAATGTTTTCACTTTTTGGGGGGTATTTAAGCAATTTCTTTTTCTATACAATTCCATAGAAAATAACCCCCCTCTTATTACTTAGATAGAAACGTCTTCTGATTTCCTTTTTCTCAACCTCATTTCTCTCCTTGAGAATATTTAAATTGTCCTGTATATTTATTCCATTTGGTGAAGCTCGTGTGTGTAATTTCTTTTTATGTTATGGTTATGTTTTGGGGCGGGTGTTTTAAGGTATTTTTAATGAATTGTTAGCATAGAATCCCATCATACATTCTCTGCCTTTATTTCTGTTACCAACACAATATTTTCCAAGCAAAAATCTTTGTTTCCAAGCTTTGTATTCTGATTACAAATTATTAATAAATTACCTTGATTGCATACTTGATCAACTTGAGGTTGTAGATGCTAGTTACTACTTACCCAAAACATTTTCAGTTATCTTTTGCTCCTTAATGGTTAATTTGGCTGACATCATTTCTTCCTTTGTTTTAGGAGTTTGTGAAGACACTGAAAATTTTCTGCCTCTGTCTGTTTTTTTCAGACTTTTGGGAAGGAAAAAGAATGGTATAGATGAAACAAAAGCGAATATTCCAGCCACAAGGAAACCAAGCCACCAAGCACCAACCCAACGAGAATCCTTAGGAGTTATTCGGATACTGCCTGTAATAAAGAATTAGAAAAAAAGAGCCAGTTAAAAGAATTACTTTGAAATGCAACAAAATATGAAAATTATAGGAATTATTGTTCTACTTTATAGGTGAACGATAGTACATTCTATTTCACGAGTTCTAAAACACTATACTTTATCATCTCTAGCATCAAAATGACACCTTATAATTGCTATTATCTAGAAATCTTTCATGACACTGTTCTCAACAGCTAAACAAATATGAGATCAAGAAAATGCTAGCATTGACATTTTTGTCAACCTGCAAGAAATTCTCAGAATCAATAATCAAATTTATTTTTCTTTTTCTGAAACTGCATTTCTAACTTTCTTAATAACACGGAAGATAGTGTTGCAGAAAAATATAGATGATAAAATTGGGTTTAAAAGTGGCCCAGGTAACCTCTAATCTATTGCCTATATTCCGTACAATTAGAATCACACAATATTTGGCCTTTTGTTATTGGTATATTTCACTCGGCATAGTTTCCAAGGGTCACCATTCTCTTTATAATATCACAGATTCAAGCTCATTGTCTTCAAGTCAGAAATGATTCAAAGCTTACTCTCTAGAGAGGTTTCATAGGCTGTACTACTCATAGGAAATTTCCTGCATTTCTCTTGTGGAATAGCTAGAAGGGCATCTTTTGGTTAGCAGTGCAATTCCCTATAGACAAGCTACTAAAGCGTTCATATCGTACACTATAGAGTTTCATTCCTTTCATGTGGAATACTTTGGGAATGTTAGGAGGGGCCACTTCTTGGAAAAGGTCATCATAATGAGAAAAGTGGAGGGTCAAAGAGAGGACACTCGAGCATAGCAGAGGTCATGAGGATGGTGCAGGACAGGGCAAGGTTCAGAATCCTACATAGGATAGTTATAAGTGGTAGTCGACTCACAGTGACTTAACAACAACACAACAACGATATTCCACTACTGATATAGATTACATTTCATTTACTAATTTAAAGGGCAAAAAAAAAGGTGGAAGGGAGAACCTAATTAATAATGGACCCAGACTTTCTATCAGAAGTGATGAAAAGTTTGGGGAATAGATGTGGTGATGGTTGCATAAAATTGTAAAATAGAATTTCATGCCACAGTGGATTTACACATCATGAAAGTCACAGCTTGTATGTTAGACATACTTTAACATAATTAAATTAAAAAAATAATACAGGGACACTTTAGCCATTTTATTTCAACTATTTTTCCTTTTAATGCATGCATAACAATGATACATAATTTAAGCAAATATAAGTGCATTTCCACCAATAAATAGAAAATAAACATTCTAAAGAGTAAAATAGCACATGCATGTAAATACATACATGTACATCACAGGGGCATGAAGAACACTTTAACTGATACATTAGTATTTGGAGAGGGTTCTGGTGGTCTGTGGGTAGGGGGTTGTGTTGTCACCAAAAGGTGATGTCTCTCTGGTTGTTCAAATCCTCCAGTGGCTCTTGGAAGAAAGGCAATCTTATTCAATGTTATTTGTAGCCTCTCAAAAACTACTGGATGGTCAGCTATGAGTTGGTTGAGATTCACTGGCAATGAATTTGAGTTAGTTACTCTTTGGAAAAGCCTGAGAGCATAGCAGGTCATGTTTTGGATTGCTGACAGGTTAGCAGTTTTAATCTATCTCCAGTCCTTCAGGAGAAAGATGAAACAGTAAGATTTACAACTTTGAAAATGCAAATCCAATGCAAGTTTACCACGAAGTGCAACTGATTCCATGGCAATGGGTTGGTCTTATAAAATCATTACTCTGATCGAAAGGGAAACTCATTAATATGAGAAAATGTTAGCTTGGTTTTAAGTGATCACAAATAAATTTGCAGGTCAATTTATATAATTGGATAGTGAATAAAGATGATAGAAGAATTGATGCTTTTCAATTGTGGTTCTGGAGAAGAGTATTAAATAGTCCATGTGCTGCCAAGAGAGTAAACAAATAAGTCTTGAATAAAGTACAATGAGGGTCCTTCTTAGAAGGAAGCGTGGTGAAACTTTGACTCACACACTTAAAGCATGTTGTTAGGAGGTGCCAGTACTGAGAAAAAGGCATTATAGTCAGAAAAGTAGAGGGTCAGTGAAAGTGGAAAAGACCTTCTATGAGATGGCTTTACACAATATATTCTCATGTAAATCAATTAGCCTCAATCCTGAGAAGACTTGAAAGCCAAATATATATAGATATGTTATTGTTATTAGGCGCCTTCCAGTAAACATGATTCACAGTAACCATATGAGTGGTGGATCTGTACCCTGCCCTACCCTGTGCCCTCTCTGCCACACAATGAGTCTATTGTACCAATCCACCTCATGGAAGGTCTTTTCCCTCTTTCCCTCTAAGGAGGATACAAAGGGAGCTCTGGTAGCCTAGTGGCAAGAAGCTGTGCTGCAATATGGCAAACACATGGTTCAAGGACGCCAGCTTCTCCATGGAAGAAGGATGGGTAATCTCCTGCTGTGCGGTTCACTGCCTCTGAAAACTCATCAGAGGGTCAGCTATTGGTCAGTTCCAACTCTACAGTACACAACAATAACAGCATTGTCATATAAGAAACCCTGGTGGCATAGTATGTAGTGTATTGCGACTGGTAACTGAAAGGTTAACTGTGTGAGTCATAACAAATTATAGATAAGATTTCAAACAAGGAGGATTTCAGAACAATTAATTTTGCTAACATAGAATCTATAAATAGACCAAGAAGGAGTCATTTGAATAAGCCAAGGGGATACTGCATAGTTTAAAATCAGGACAAGTGTCTGTCAAGGTTATATTTTTTCAACACATTACTCAGTCTGTATACTGAGAAAATAACCTGAGAAACTGTACTATATGAAAAGAATTTGGTATAATGATTGGTAGAAATTCATCAACAACCTATATGCAGATGGTACAGTCTTGCTTGTAAAACAGCAACAAAAGACGTGAAACACTCACTGATAAAGCTCAAAGACTATAGGCTTAAGTGTGGATTAGAACTCAATACAATAAAGCAAATATTCTCACAAATGTACCAATAAACAGCATCATAATAAATGGGGGGGGGGAAAGATTGAAATTGTCAAGTACTTCATTTACTTGGTCCAAAATCATTGCCCATTGAATCAGCAGTAAAGAAATCAATGTCATTTAATTGGACAAATCAGATACCAAGAGCTTCTTAAAATTGATCATGAACAGAGATATGACTTTAGGAATAAGGTGCACTTGACTGAAGCCATGGTATTTTAAATCACCTCACATGCATGTGAAAGTTGTATGATGAATAAGGAATATCAAAGAATTGTGGTGTTGGTGAAGAATACTGTATATACCACAGATTGCTTAAAAAAATCTGTTTTGGTATAAATGAATCCAGAATGATTCTTACAAGTCAGGATGGTCAGACATTATCTACATTCTTTGAGTGTGTTATCAGGCGTGTGTAGTCCCTTGAAAAGACACACTTGACAAGGTCAACAAAAAAGAGGACAACTCTGTCCCACTAGAATTTCAAAATCATCTCAGGAACAGGTTTGAGGCCTTGAGCACCAATGAGCGTAGACCAAATGAGCTCTGGGAGGATATCAAGAAAATCATCCACGAAGAATGCAAAGGACCATTACAAAGGCTGAAGAACAAGAAGAGACCAATATGGATGTCAGATGAGACTCTGAATATTGCATTAGAGTGCTGAGAAGCCAAAGCTAAAGGAAGAAATAAATAAATCAAAGAGCTGAATAGAAAATTTCAAAAGGCAGGTCGGAACGACAAAGCAAGATACTATAATGAAATGTGCAGAGAGCTGGAGTAAAAAAATCAAAAGGGCCAGACTCGCTCAGCATTTCTTAAGCTGAAGGAGTTGAAAAACAAATTCAAGTCATGGGTGGCAATACTTAAGGATAGCTTGGGTAGAATGTTGAATGATCCAGGATGTATGAAAAGAAGATGGAAGGAGTACACAGAGTCACCATATCAGAAGGAATTGGCTGACACAGAGGAACTTCATGAAATAACATATGAGCAAGAACCTATGGTGATGAAAGAGGAAGTTTAAGTTGCTATGAAGGAATTGGCAAAAAACAAGGCTCCAGGAATTGACTGCATACCAATTGATTTATTTCAACAAACAGGCGCTGCCCTGGATGTGCTCACTAAGTTGTGCCAGGAAATCTGGAGGACAACCAGCTGGCCAACTGACTGGAAGAGATCGATATTTGTTCCCATTTCAAAGAAAGGTGACCGAACAGAGTGTGGAAATTATCAAACAATATCATTGATATCACGTGCAAGCAAGATTCTGCTGAAAATTATCCAAAAACGTTTGAATCAATATGTCAACAGAGAACTGCCAGATGTGCAGGCTAGATTTAGAAGCGGTCATGGTATTAGAGATATTATAGTTAATGCTAGATGGATCTTGGCAGAAAGCAGAGAATACCAGAAGATTTTGTATCTGCGCTTCATTGACTATGCAAAGGCTTTTGACTGTGTGGATCACAACAAGCTATGGCTCACTCTGAGAAGAATGGAAATCCCAGAACATTTGATTGTGCTAATGCAAACCCTATACTCGGACAAATAGGCAGTCGTCAGAATACAGCAGGGAGACACTGGATGGTTCAAAATCAAGAAAGGGGCCTGTCAGGGATGTATTTTGTCTCCATACCTTTTCAATCTGTATGCAGAACAAATCATCCGAGATTCTGGGCTCTATGAAGAGGAATGTGGCATCAGGATTGGTGGAAGAATGGTCAACAACTTGCGTTATGCAGATGACACAACCCTGCTCCCTGAAACTGAGGAGGACCTGAAGCCCTTGCTGCAGAAGGTCAAGGACTGCAGTCTTCAATATGGATTGAAGCTCAATATCAAGAAAACAAAGATTCTCACCACTGGGCCAATTGGCAGCATGAGTATGGATGGTGAAGAGATTGAGATAGTTAACAGTTTTAGTTTGCTTGCCTCCACAGTCAACACTCTTGGTAAAGGCAGCCAAGAAATCAGGAAATTAATTGCATTGGGAAAATCAGCTGTGAGGGACCTCCGAAAAGTACTGAAGAGCAGCAATGCCAGTCTGGAGACTAAGGAGAGCCTGATCCAGGCTATAGTCTTCACAATTATGTGCTATGCATTGGAGAGTTGGACAGTGAATAGGGATGATATAGAAGGAGAATTGATGCCTTTGAGCTGTGGTGCTGGAAATGAGTGATGAATATATCATGGACTGCTAAGAGAACAAAAAGGTTTGTCCTGGAGAGGGTGAAGCCAGAATGTTCCCTGGAGTTAAGGATTCTGAAGCTTCGTCTGACATACATTGGGCATGTTGCGGGGAGGGACTGGTCCTTGGAGAGGGACATCATGTTTGGGAGAGTGGAGGGATGGCGCAGGAGAGGAAGACCCTTGGTGAGATGGATCGATTCTATGAGGGAATGAATGTGTTTGAGACAGCGATGTTGGCACAGGATAGAACGGCATTTAGGGCTCTTGTACATTGGGTTGCTATGAGTTGCAAACGACTCGATGACACATAACAACAACAAGAACAACAACAACAACAACAACAACAACAACTCAGCTTTCAGTGGGATAAATTGGCACAGTGGGGAGGTGCGGGGTGGGGGGGTTGTGTACCAGTGAGGGAGTTTTTCTTTTGCTTTTCAAGGAGAGGAGCAAATGGGAGGGGGAGGGGGGAAGGGTTTGTGCGGGGAGAAGGGTGCAACAATGAATGAATGGAATCCCAAAATCTCTGTAGATGTTCATTGAAATGAAAAATTAAAAAAAAAGAAATCTAAAAAAAAAAAAGAATGTGTTTAAGCAAAACAGAACCTTATTTATGATTTTCCAAGTTACATTTAGTGCTATTTTATCCTATTCTAATTGACATTAACGTAGAATCATAATGCATGGAAATACAAGGTTCCAAAACATTTTTCTTAGTTCATACAGTGTCTTAAAAAATTTGACTGTGTGGATCATAACAAATTATAATTTATATTGAGAAGAATGGTAATCCCAGAACACTCAATACCTTGCTTGCCAGAAGCAAGGGTAACATGAAGCACTTGCTGCAGAAGATTAAAGACTATAGCCTTCAATATGAGTTATATCTCAACGTCTAAAAGACAGAAATTTTTACCACTGGACCAATAGGCAACATCATAATAGATGGAGAAAGGAATGAAACAGTCAGCAACTTTATCTTACTTGGATCCACAATCAACAGCCTTGGTACCAGTAGTCAAGAGGTCAGCAGACGTATTGCACTGGGAATGTCTGCAGTAAGGGACCTTTCCAGATTATTGAGGAACACTGATATCAGTTTGAAGACTAAGATGTTCCTGATTCAGGCCATGGTCTTTTCAATCATTTGCAATGCTGTTTAGAACTGGATAATGAATAAAGATGACAGAAGACAAAACCAGGCCTTTGAGCTCTGGTGTTGGAAAAGAGTACTGAATAACCCATGAAGTGCCAAAATAACAAATAAATATGTCTTGGATAAAATGCAGCCAGGGTGTTCCTCAGAGGCAAAGATGACAAAGCTTTACCTCACATACTTTGGATATGTTGTTAGGAGAGGCTATTTTTTTTGGAGAGGGATGTCATTCTTGAAAATGTGGAGGGTCAGCAAAAGAGAAGAAGACCCTTAGCCAGATGGATTGACCCAATGGCTACAGCAATGGGCTCAAGGGTGTCAGAGGTGATGAGGATGGCACCTCCGATTAGTAACTAGATGAGAGTGGTAGTAGTAGTAGCAGAAGCAACAGAAACAGTGGGGAGTAAGAGAATGATTTGAGTTGTAGTTGACTTGGGACTGCTATTCGCAGAGTCAAGGACCTTCATCAACTTTGTTGGAAGACTGGAGGGAAGACTCAATAAGACTTAGCTTTTTAACCCTGACCTAAGGCCATAAGACTGAAAGTCAGATGGCTTGCTATCACACTTGAGAAGCTATCTTGATTAAGGAATTGTATACTATTGCTAACCTGAATTGTAACCAGTTAGCTTTCCTAATAAACCTCATAACTGTCACTATCCTGTGAGTTCTGTGTGGTCATTGCAACAGATCATCAAATGTATTAATAGAGCAGTGAGAATCCTGGGAGGGATGATTGGCATAGGAATTGTTAAAAGTATTTGGAAGAATATAGGGATGTCTCTGAACTCACAGAATTAGATTTTGTGTTGTAGGTGTTACTGATAGGGGCTGTTCACCTTTTTGGAGTTAGTAGAGGTCCGCCACCACCATCTTAATGTAGTCAGCTTTTTTCTGACAGTGAGCATTCTGCTACTGTACCACCAGTACCTTTCCTGCTCTAATTTGTATATTTAAAATAGGAGATAATAACATTTCATCAGGTACTTTTTTACATTTATATTAGCAAATGCTTTCAAGATTGAGGCCACTTTTGACATGCTACGTTGGGGATAAATATTTTAATTTTGTTGGCATGATTTATTGAAGTGCTGATGAAAGAGGAGCTTAGATTTGCTCACTCACAAATAGTAACCACTTATTATATGTTAAGATACAAATGAACCTGTCCTGTTTTAAAAGAGATGACAGATAAATTCACAAGTATTCGTGATTCATTGTGATGATATCTGCAATCAATTCATATACCTGGTGTCCAATAAGACCAGAAAAAAAGAACTCAGTGCTATTGAGTTTATTCCGACTTTTGTTGTTGTTATGTACCATTAAGACTGATTGACTCATAGGTTGACCCTCCAGTGGGTTTTCAGAGGCAGTAAATCACAAAGGAGCATATTAACCATCAGTCCTGCATGGAGAGGCAAGTAGATCAAAACCATGTGCTTTGCAGCTCCTTACCCTTAGGCCACCAGAGCTTCCTTCCTGACCTTCAGCAACCGTACAGTTAGTTAGGCATTGCTAGCACACCACCTGGTTGTCGTTGTTAGTTGCCTTTCAATTGATTCTGACTCAAGGAACTCTATGTGTATAGAAACATTTTGCTTCACATTCACTCATTGTCATCAAGTCAGAACTAACTCAGAGCCTACTAAACTTCAGTTTCCAAGGTTGTAAATTACATAGGAAGAAATTTCCCGTCTTTCTCCTATTGAGTCACTAGTGTATTACACCATTAGTGGCGTATAGCTTTCCGGTTAGCAGCAAAATCCCGTAAAGACTAAGATGCCACAGCTGCTGTAGGAAGGAAGGAGGGTCTAAATTAAGGCAGTTTCCACAATATGACATCTATTTCTTCTATGTTATAAGAAGGAAAGGATATGATTGGTAGTGCTAGAATCAGAGAAAATGACCAAAACTAAAGTGAACAATGGATATTCTACAACTACTCCTGTCATAGGTCAACCAAGCAACCACAGGAGACATTAGCAAAGAACTCTATAACATGTGCTGTGCAGCATACAAATGAATTGTAATTGCAAAAAGAGAATGTACTTGGCCAAGTGGTCAGTATTGGATAAGGGCATTTTCAGTTTAGTTGTTTCAGATCAAAGAGTAAGATATGTTTTTTAAAAATCTCTTCATTTTACAATTTGTTGTAAAAGCATGGTATGGATAGATAGAAATTGAAATTATGTATCTTTCCAAGTAATTAATACATCTCTTTTCTATTTATTTGAAACTCTGGCAGCCTAGTGGTAAGAAACTGCCCTGCCACCTCAAAGGCACAAGGCTCAGAACTACCAGGTGCTCTGCAGAAGGATGGGCAGTAATTGTCCCCTGACCCCCGTGCTATTTACTACTTCTGAAAAGCTGCTGGAGGATCATCTCTGAGTCAATTCTGACTGTAGAACACACAACAAACACAGTCTGCTTTGATATCTGAAGAAATAGTAAGCAAAGGATTATAGGAAAAGTGATTTCAATTATTTGGAAAAATTATATCATGGACTTGAAACACACAATGATGTTACCTTGTTCTGTTATACTTACTTAGATCTACATATCCAATGTCCACGTATATTGTAGCCAAGAAAGAAGACAGAAGAAAGCCAGACATTGGACCAAGCATTGCTATTGCATTCAAACTTCCTAAAACATATTATAAATGGATCTTATTATATGCCAAGAATATTCTTTTTTAAAAATTAATTTTAACGAATGTTTACAGAGATTTTGGATTTCAATGCATTCATTGTTGCACTTTTCTCCCTGCCCCCCCCGCCCCCAGTTCTTTACTCTTAGAAAAGTAAAAGAAAAATTCTTTCATTGGTATACAATCCCCCCCCAGTATACTTCACTATGCAACCTCCATTATGGACTCTTGTCATAACCGTAATAACCGATCATATATTGCTTTTAAACTGTTCTCTCCCTCATCTGTTTCAATGCAGTATGCATAATATATCCAATTTTTTTTCCCTTTACATTACCTACATAAAAAGAAGAATGTCCTTCTTTAGCAAAATCATCAATGTAAGAAATTCCCAAGGGTACAATTGGGGTTTCCCCAATTCCACGAAGCATATTGCCCATTAAGACATAAATCCAGAGGGATGACCCAGATTCCTTTACACACCCTGTGAAAACAAAAGAATATTTAAATTCAGATGTCAGTTTTAGCCTTTCTACTAGGAAATCAATTACTTTATCTCCTCATTTCATTTATTTGGATTTCTCCTCATTATTCCAATGTTAAGAATAGTTCATGTTCACTTTAAAAATTTGAAAAAACAGAAAAAAATCACAAAAGGAAGCAACAAAAATAATTTATAATTCAATAAAACATAGAGAGCTATTTTAAATTTTTCTTTGTAGAGAGCTATTTCTAATGTTTGCTATATGCATAGTTTTGGTTCACATAAAAACATGTATTCATGTTTATTAGTATAATAAAAATTAGACAATTCCCAAAATCTCTGTAGATGTTCACTGAAATGAAAAATAAACAACCTAAATTAAAAAAAAAGAAGTGGAAACTAAGTTGATAATTATTTTTATAATGATATCAATCTTCTAGTAATTTATGCAAGTTGTATTGCAATGGAATCTAAACTTTTTGTAAATAAATTCTGCCTGGTTTTTATTTGAACATTGCTGGTTATACTATCTTTGTTGGTTGTTTAACAAGGATTCTTTACTAATTTATATTTTAAATTGTAAATAAAAAACAGTCTAGTCTACAGCAACAACAACAAAAAATTATACAATTGAAATGAAAATTTTCTTTTAATGTTAACATTACATAACAATTTTAGGCTATTAGATATATTATTTTAATGATTCCATGATATAATGCTGCATAAAAATTGTATAATTTATTTACTGAATTATCTTTTTAAATTATATTTTTCTTTTATATTCTGTTAATTAGCTATATTGTTATTAAAATTATAAAGAAATCCTGTGAGCATTTCCTTTTGTTTTCTTAAAATGGAAAAAAAGTAAAATTGAGTTACTAGAGTGTACATATTTTTATTCTTTAATATTTGAGAAATATTAGCCTCCAAAAAAAGAGTTACAAATTATACTCTCAGCAAAAAACATCTTTTCCTTTCATCTCATAGCATTTGTTTTTGTTGTTGTTGTTGTTATTGTTGAATCAGATCTAACTGGCACAAGAGATTTCCCCTCCTTCTGAAGCAGAGCATCTGGTGGATTCAAACAGGGCCCTTTTGGGATTGCAGTGTAGGCTCTTGCCACTAGGCCACCACAACTCACTTATATAATTTTAAATATTTTCTCATATGTTAAAAATGTTTAATTAATGCTGTAATTTGCAATTATAATTTTTATTTTATTATCTGGAAAATCCTTATTTGATTTTATAATTTTCATTTTAATTAAGAATAAATCTTCAATTATTCTTTTCATTATGGCACTTTATCTTTATTTTAAATTGATATAGTCTGTGCCAATTTTCATATGAAAATTTCCTTTTTCTGTTTTCTTTTAAAAGCTATTTAGACATATACTAAGAGTGATCTTTTTTATTATTATTATTAATTTCAATGAACATCAACAGAGATTTTGGAAGTCCATTCATTCATTGTTGCACTTCAGTGATCTTCTACTGTAGGTGAGATGCAAATTTTTTTTTTCAATTTGCTTTTAAAGTTAGTATTGCTGCTTTTACAACAATTTTCTTTACAATATAATTAAACTTATAATGGTAATTCTTACCATTTTCCACTATTCCAGAGGATGTTCTATTGAATTGACTATTTGAACAAGTTGGCACGCTTGATGTTGAATTCAATGGTAGGTTAAAATTGTTTTCTTTAGAATATCTATAACTGAAGAATATTGTAAGATTTAATATTTTGTTTGTTTACTTAATATTTTTACCTATTCAAGAAATAAAGAAGAAATATAATTTCTTTATACTATTGCCTTCTCCTAATAACCAGAACACTCTTCACCATTTTCCAGCCTGTGTTTCAGGAGTGGTAGTGGGTGACAGTGAAGTGGGAGAGGCCACCAAGAAAGGCCATTTGATACTTCTCAGGCAAAATAATAATAAAGTTTCATTTATTTGGATAGTGCTAATACTCTCGTGAAAAGATAAAATGTCTTGTTTTTCTTGTTACTGTTATGGGCCATCGAGTCACCTGTGACTCATAGAGACCCTAGGTACAACAGCCCTAAGCCCTGCACTGTCCTGTGCCAATCGCACGGTCTCCAATACACCTACCCCCATTATCCCAGTCACTGAAACAATCCACCTCATGGAGGGTCTTCCTCTCCTGCAATGTCCCTCCTCCCTTCCAACCATGACATCCTTCTCCAAGGATTGGTTCCTCCTTGCAACATGTCCAAAGTATGTTAGATGGAGCTTCAGAATCCTTGCCTCCAAGGAGCAGCCCACTTTAACCCTCTCCAGGACAAACCTGTTTGTTTTATTAGTAGTCCATGGTATATTCAATACTCTTCTCCAGCATCACAGCTCAAAGGCATCAATTAATTCTCTTTCTATAATCCCTAGTCATTGTCCAACTTTCTGATGGGTAGAGATGCAACTTGTCTTTACAGTTTGTTTTTTTAAAATATTAACTGTACCTATCTATCCCTTTGATTGCATCTTAATATTTGTGATAATTTAAAATTAAATTAATACATTTGGGAGTTGTTGTTGTTGTTAGGTGTCATCAAGTAATAGACAACAATGGCAACCCTATGAACGGAACACCTGAGCACTGTTCATAGAGTTTCCGGAGGCAAGCCGTTTCAGAAGTGGATGCCACTCTTGCTTTCAAGCTTGTTTTAATTGAGAAGCTCCACCAAACACTGTGCACCATGGGTAACCATTATCACCTTTGGCACATCAGTGTCACAGTGTTTAGCATCACAGTAACCATGAGTTACCTCTGTACAGCAATGCACAGACAGAAGCATGTTTCACCAAAAACCAATTTTAACCAGGCCTGAGGGCCACAGATTAAAATCACCCACCTTGGGCTTGGTAGCATAACTTTCTGTCCACTAGGCCACTATGTTGTCATTGTTATTGTTGTTAGGTGCTGTCGAGTTGTAGACTCATAGTATTTTCCAATCAACCCATATATCAACCAATATATCTATATATTTTTTAAACAACATGGAATTTAAAAAAAAACCCATAATTTATAGCCTTAAGATATTTCATACTCTTGCAGAAAAACAATATATATTTTATATAATTATACTGAACAAGACGTGAAGTGCTTGTTGCAGAAGGTTAAGGACTGCAGCCTCCAATATGGATTGAGGCTCGATATCAAGAAGATAAAGATTCTCACCACTGGGAGAATTGGCAGCATCAGGATAGATGGTGAAGAGATTTAGATTATTAACAGCTTTAGCTTGGATCCACAGTTAACACTTTTGGCACCAGCAGTCAGGAAATTAAAAGATGTATTGTGATGGGAAAGTCTGCTGTTAGGGACTTCTCCAGAGTACTGAAGAGCAATGGTGTCACTCTAGAGAAGAAGGTCCCCTGATACAGGCCATGGTCTTTGTAATCACTTACTATGTGTCAGAGAACTGGACAACGACTAGGGTGGATAGAAGGAAAATTGATGCCTTTGAACTGTGATGCTGGAGAAGAGTATTGAATACATCATGAACTACTAAGAAAATGAACAGGTTTGTCCTGGAGAGGGTTAAAGTGGGCTGCTTATTGGAGGCAAGGATTCTGAACATACATCTGACATACATTGGGCATATTGCAAGAAGGAACCAATCTTTGGAGAAGGATGTTATGCTTGGGAGGGTGGAGGGACTTCACAGGAGAGGAAGACCTTCTATAAGGTGGATTGTTTCAGTGACTGGGATAATGGGGCTAGGTGTATTGGAGACAGTAAAGATTGGCACAGGACTGAGCAGAGTTTAGGGCTTTTGTACATAGGGTCGCTATGAGTCACAAATGACTCAACGGCACATAACAACAACAACAACACCATAAAAGGTATAGTAATATCAAAAGACAAAATTGTGACAATTTTTAAAAAAATCAGCTTTGCTTGAAAGTGGAGATGTGTGAATTAAAAGATATTTTGCAAAGAAAATGACATATGAGATGAATCTTAAGAACTCAATAGAAGCATACATGTACAAAGTAGAAACAAATACTCAAGGCTGCCAAAAAAATACAACATGCAAAGATATGGCACATTTGTTATTTTTACCATAGAGTCAGAATTGACTCAGAGCTGACCCTCCACTGGGTTTTCAATGAGTAAATCACAGGGGAAGATTGCCCATCTCTTTCCTGTAGAGCAGCTGGTGGATTAGAAACATATGCCTTTGAGTTAGTAGTGTAGCTCCTTACCACTAGGCCAGTAAAGGTCCTTATGGTACATTTACTGTTGTTGTATTTAGGTGACTTCAAGTCGAATATGACCTATAGCAACCCTAAAAACAACAGACTTTGGCCAACAAGCACATGAAGAAATGGTCAAAATCCCTAGCTCTAAGAGAGATGCAAATTAAAACAACTATGAGATATCATCTCACCCCAGTCAGAATAGCAAAATTTAACAGAACAGCAAGCAACAAATGCTGGTGAGGTTGTGGAGAAACTGGAGGTGGGAGTGTAAAATGGTGCAACCACTGTGGAAGGTGGTATGGAATTTACTCAAAAAGTTGCAAATAGAGATACCATTCGACCAATTCCACTACTGGGAATATACACCAAAGAGACCATAACTGACATCCAAGCAGATATATGCACACCCATGTTTATCTTGGCTTTGTTCACAATAGCAAGGAGTTGGAAACAACCCAGGTACCCATCAACAAATGAATGGATAGAGAAGCTGTGGTATATTCACACAATGGACTACTATGTTGCGTTGAAAAACAAGGAACTCATGCAATATTACTCAAAATGGGTGACCCTGGAGGACATTATGCTGAGTGAAATATCTCAGTCACAAAAGGACAAATACTGCATAGTGCCACTGTTGTAGAATGGGACTGACATCAGGGCTGGGGTAAAACGGAGAAAAACTGGATAAATTATGCATACTGCATTGAAAGGGTCAAGGACTGCAGCCTTCAGTATGGACTGAGGCTCAATGTCAAGAAGACAAAGATTCTCGCCACTGGACCAATTGGCAGCGTCAGGATGGATGACGAAGAGATTGAGAGTGTTCACAGCTTCAGTTTGCTCGGCTCCACAGTCAACACTCTTGGCACCAGCAGTCAGGAAATCAAAAAGCATGTCGCGATGGGAAAGTCTGCTGTTAGGGACCTCTCTAAGGTACTCAGGAGCAACAGTGTCTCTCTGGAGACTACGGTGCGCCTGATACAGGTCATGGTACTTGCAATCGCTTGTTGTGCATCAGAGAGTTGGACAATGACTAGGGAGGACAGAAGAAGAGTGGATGCTTTTGAGCTGTGGTGCTGGAGAAGGGTACTGAATGTACCATGGACTGCCAAGAAAACAAACAGATTCATCTTGGAGAGGATTAAACCAAGCTACTCCTTGGAGGCAAGGATTCTGGGGTTTCGTCTGACATACTTTGGGCATGTTGCCAGGAGGGACGGGTCCTTGGAGAGGGACATCATGCTTGGGAGGGTGGAGGGACAGCGCAGGCGGGGAAGACCCTCTATGAGATGGATTGATTCAGTGACTGGGGTAATCGGGATGGGTGTGTCAGAGGCAGTGCGGTTGGCCCAGGATAGAGCAGGGTTTAGGGCTGTTGTGCATAGGGTCGCTATGAGTCGAAAACGACTCGACGGCACATAACAACAACAAACAAGCATTGAAACAGATGAGGGAGAGAATAATTTAAAAGTGATATGTGATAGGGTATTATGGTTATCACAAGAGTCCAGAATTAAGGTTGTATAGTGGAGTGTACTCAGAGCGGTGGGAGGGACACAGGGAGATTGTATACCAAAGAAGGAATTTTTCTTTTGCTTTTCAAAAAGAGGAGCGAACTGGGGCGGGGGTGGGAAGGTGGGGAGTAGGGCTGGACAGGGAGAAAAGTGCAACAATGACTGAATGGAAATCCAAATCTCTGTAAATGTTCATTAAAATTAATAAAATAAGATTTAAAAAAATCCAACAGACTTGAATCCTGTTCTATCCTGTGCCGTCCTTGTCAACTCTGACACACTTGAGCTTATTACTGCAGTCACTGTTTGTCCATCCCGTTGAATGTCTTCTTCTCTTTAACTGACCCTCCAGCTTTTTAATCATGATGTCTATTTGGAGACCTGCAAATAGTTTGGTAAGATTAGAGTGTGTGGAGTAACAGAAGATAAAGATGGAACCAAATCAGTGAGTGAGCTGCATGAGTAAAGAGGTTAGATTCTAACTCATAAACAAGTAGTTTTCAGCATTTTGACAGTTACCAACACTAAGAAATATGTTTGTTTTATAATATAATCACCATATGAATACAACAGACAAGCATTTACAAATATATATACAAGCAAAAGTTCCACAGCACTATTTTTACCCCTGCATGAACTTCTATATCATTCTATATCATTCTATATCATTTTATTCTACTTTTCCATATGAGCCAGCTATTCCATTGCTTGGAATATACCCTGAGAAACTGAGAACTGAAGCACAAATAGAGACTTGTACCCCAATGCTCAGAGCAGCATTATTCACCATTGGAAGAACAACCTAGATAGCCAACCACAAATGAATGGATTGAAAAGTTGTGGTACATTTGCACAATGGAATACTACACAGCATGAAAGAGCAATGACTTTATAAATTACTACCTAACTTGGGAGTGACTGGAGAGCATTATGCTGAGTGAACTAACTCATAATTTGTCCATAAGAATAAATACTGTATAAAATTATTATTGTAAAATGAGTATGAGGATCCATAGGGGGGAGGGTAGAAGCAGAGGGTTGAGGAAGGGTGGGTGGGGATGTCAATCATAGGGTCACACAATTCGATGTGTGTATAAGGAATGAAGGAAATGAGAAAGATCTTGTGTGTATTCGAACTTGGTAAGTAAATCAGTATAAAAAACAATAAATTTTGAGACCAATCATCTGGAGTGAGTTACTGGCTCACTACTTGTTCATGATCTGAACTTTGGAAAATGCTGCTTCAGAAATTTGAGTTTTAGTCAGAAGCAAAATCATTAGCTTTGTGTTTTAACATGAAGACTTTTTTGTAGACTGTGATCTTGTTTTAAAGTAAGGTTTCCTCTGTTGTGTTAGTAAAATTATACTTAGTAGGGTGTATTCTAAATCCCATAATGTATGATTCTAGCAACATCAGATTACATACAAGTGAAGAAGAGGAAGACAGGGAACGGAGGTGAATATAAGCATTACTGGTAGCTGTTAAAGTTCTGAGCCAGAGCAAACTCCATACAACTTACAGTTTCCTGAAAAAAATACTGGAAGATCAGATGTGTGTCAGGTCCAACGTCATGGCAGAAGTTCACACTGAACTTCACACTTCACAGTGTGAGACTAGAAGCTGAGATAGACAAAGGACTTCCTCCTAGAATGAGGTACCAAACACAAATTTCTAGCCTCTTGAAATGTGAGAACTTCTATTTTCCTTTATAGCCACTCACTTGTATACTTGCATTATGACAGAAGTAGGTATCTAAGACACTTACTATCCCATGAAGAAATGTGGTAAAGCCGTCAAAATACTTCCAATTCCCATAACTATGCAACCAATTCCAATCAGCCTTGGTCTGTGTAGCCTGGATCCGAAATAACTTACAAATACAATAAAAAGCAAATTTCCTGCAATGAAAAAGAAATATTTTAATAGAATCATTTTAGCAAATACTGAGTCCCATGAAATAGCAACCCCCAGTATAAATGAAAATATAGCACTTTCCCTCAAAGATCATGTATTAATAATTTAATTGAAAGCTTGACAGTCACATACATTAAAGCAATGATTGAATTGTAATATTCGTAAGTAAGGTAGACATTTGTTATGTCCCATTGAGTTGGAACCAACCCATCAGGTAAGCTCTTATGTACAAAATAAATTACTTAAAATGGTAAGCAATATTGTCATTGTTAAGTACAGTTAAGTTAGAACCGACTCATAACTGACTACTCAGTGGGTTTTCAGAGACATGAAATCATATGAAAGAAAAGTACCCATCTTTCTTCTTTGGAGCATCTGGTGGATTTGAACCATGTGCCTTTTAGTTGCCAACACAACTCCTTACCACTAAGTCCCTACAGCTCCCTAGTCACTGATATTGTAAGGCAATATTAGTAAAGTGAATTTTATTAGGGAAGTGAGAGTTGGCTGGATTTAATTAGAGAGAACCATCAAGAAATTTTCCAGGCCTGGGAGAAAGTTAATCATGACTTTATCTAATAATTCATTTCTAACATTTATTAAATGCCTATGATGTACATGCTATGGTATTAGGAGTCAGAAATAAAACAAATTTTATAAGCCATGACATTGGTCTTCAAGGAACTTAGATACTCATTTTAACAATAGATAAATTAATAGAGTTACTGTTAAAACACAGAAAGGAAATTTAAATAGGAATTGCATGAAACTTCCTAGAGAGAGAATTTGAGACTTAATGCTGCACATATAGTAGCTTTGGTGGTATATTGGATAGTATGTTGTGTTACAAACCAAGAGGTTCATGGTTTGAATCTATCATTTTTTCCGAAGGAGAAAGTTGTGACAGTCTGCCTCCTTAAAGATGTACAGCCTTGAGAACCCTACGGGGCAATTCTATTTTGTCTGATACAGTTGCTATGAGTTACAATTGTCTCAGCATCAATGAGCTTGATTTTGATATTACTGACAAAACACAGATAAAATGAAGACCATAGAGCCAGAGTAGTCTTCCCAGTTCTAAGTGAAAAAATAAAAATAAATAAAAATTTAACCTCAACTTTAAACCAAATTAGATAGATGAAACCAAAAGAAATCTAACGTAAGTTGCTCCCAAGTAGTTCATTTCTACTCAAACCACTGGAATCACAAACCTCTTCCAACAATTTCTCCTCAAACTTCACTTACTGGAAAAAGGGATAATAAAGCTGACATATATGAATGTGTACGCAATGAACTTAGGCTCATTAGGGTTTTTCAACTTGATACTGACTTTTGGCTACTCTGACTATAGTTTAGTTCTTTGTTGCAGAATAGGGGTATATGTGATATCCTGTCGGTTGTTTCAGCCTACTGGCTTGCACCTATTAAATTCTAGTAGCACTTTCTTTTCTCCATTTTATGATAATAAAAAATATCTTCCCACACAAGGTGACTGACCCTCTATCAAGTTTCCAACCCCGTAAATCTTTAATATAGGAGACTATCCACATTTATTCTGCAGAATTGTTGGTTGACTTGTACTGCTGACCTTTTATTTAACATCTTAAAAAGCAACAAATGACATATCACTGCTGAGAACCAGATGTAGAGAATTTGTAAACAGGTTTAGAGTTTTGCCAGTGTGCTTCGTAAATGATAATCAAAGTGGAAATGAAAATTACCAATTTCAAAGCTTCCATCAATTAAGCCAGCAACAGAAGAAGATATATCGAATCTCCTTTCTATCTGAGTAATGGAGGTTTTCATAATGCTTCCAGCTAGAGTTTTCGCAATAAAACTGAATGATAGGGCTATGAAGAATACCTAGGGGGGGAAAAGGAAGAAAAAAACAAAGCAAAACCAAAACTTTTAAAAAAGATTCATTAAAGAGTTTTGTTATTATTGTTAGGTGTCACAGACTTAACTATGACTCATAGTGACCTTATGAACAATATTTCTGAAAAGTACCTTTTGATCTCATGTAGTTATTCTAAGGAGTGCATAGTTCCTTGCTGTCACTCTTCACTTTGTAAACCTGTCTTTTGACTAGAAGTTGAACTATGCTGGTGAGTTCATTTACAAGCTTTTTAAAGGGCATCTAAAAACTATGGTCCCAGGAATTGAAAAAAATCTCTGTCAGACCAGTAACCCTGGTCTACCTAGTTACAAGTCCAAAGTATAAAAGACAAAGCTTCATTATCCTTATCTCTAAGGAGCACTCTGGGTGCACCCTTTCCAGGACATATTTGTTTGCTCTTTTGGCAGTCCATGAGGTATCAGCAATGATATTCCTCATATGGTGGCCTCTTCTAAAACCAGATTCTATTACTAGTAGTTCTCTGTTCAATGTACTGTTCTAGCCACTTTTGAATGATCGTCAACATTTTGCTTAATAACATAATAATGATATCGTTAAATCATTTCCATATTGTGTTGGATCATCTTTTTATATAATGAAAAATGAAAGAATGGAAATACAAACTCAAGCCTCAAGTTTCAATACTGAAAGAAGCTATGGCCACAACCTTGAATGATCCAGAAAACATTAAAAGAAGATAGAAGGAATACACAGAATCACTGTACCAAAAAGAATTGATTGACATGGAAAAAATTCAGGAAGTACCATATGAACAAGAGTCAATGGTGATAAAAGATGAAGTTCAAGCAGCACTGAAGGCATTGGTAGAAAATAAGGTTCCAGGAATTGATGGATTCCCAAATGACACGTATGAACTAACAGATGCAGCCTTGGATGTGCTCACCGGTTTATGCCAGGAAATTTAGAGGATAGCTACCTGGCTGACTGACTGGTAGAGATACATATTTGTCCCCATTCCCAAAAAGGTGCTTCAACAGAAAATGGAAACTATCAAACGTAAGCACGTTGTTGTTGTTATGTGCCGTCGAGTCGTCTGCAACTGATAGCAACCCCATGTACAACAGCCCTAAACCCTGCTCTATCCTGTGCC